CAATAAGAAACAAGAAAGAACAAGACACAAAAATTTTACATGGTTCGACAATTTTCCTACGTCCACGAAACTGTAAGATTTTCACTATTGAGAGAGAGGATTACAGAGAGCGGTTATATACATCGATCAAACCCTAATCACCAAAGTAGCGGTCTTTTATATGTCCTACGCACTGGGCTACAAAACAGGTCCAAAAAATTTTCCTATGACTTGGGCTTATTGGCCCAAGCCTTCGCTCTATGGAGCAAGCTTCAAAAAAAATTTCATTAAAAAATCACGCAACATTATTTCGGGTCAGGTCATTATCCGGATCAACATACAAACTAAACTTCACAAATGGCCCAACACAAACTAGGTAATGACCCTTTTTATGACCCCCTTCATTCTATGGGTTCCTCTCATTTGCCATGATCATTTTGAGCCAAGGGCTCAACCCCTATGGGACCAATATGTTTGAAATAAAGTTATAGGAAGCTGCAACTTTAAGACCAAAACTCCAGAACCGAGACAACTCCTATTAATAATCTTCACTTTTATTTGATTTAATTGAACATTCAAGAGGATATGGGGACGAACTTTGGAGGGCAAGAGAATCTAAATAAGTACATTAACCTAGAAAAGCATGTACACGTACAACACAAATCAAAAGGTACCCTCCAACAAACACTAAAACTGATTTACTGAATTGAATTGGCTTTAATTTAAAGGTTGGCATTGCTCAATTAAATATGATTTTATTTGATTAGTGAGATTTAAACTCAAGACGTGTGGTCTACATCTCGTCCTTTGTTCAACCATTAAACCAATTCATACAGATTGGACTTTTTCACGTTGGGTATGAGCCAGATTACTGGGAATTTGTAATCTTGAAGTGGATGAAAGAATCAATCACATGATTATATGTGGTGAAGAGAATTTGTACCTTGTGGAGAATAAGAACTGGAAAGCAACCACTCAATCACTCTTTTCACCTTAATTGGAAGATAAAAAAGCAGAGAATCAGCCCATTGATGACCATGACTGGTCTCCCTTCAACTTAAGAGACGCCATGGAATCCCATCATGCAGTTTTGATAAAGGCATAAGAACCTATGCTTTAGAACCTTCCAACTTGCATGTCATATAATATATGATAATCATGGAATCAATCCAAGAAAAAGTTGATCTACCTGGATAAACAAGAAAAAAGAAATTACAAACATGGAGAGAGAGAGAGAGAGATTTGAAGAGGGTCCTCTTTGAACATTGAATGGGGCAAAAGAAAAAGCATAAAGAAAAACATTAAGCACAAGAAACCAAGACTGTTATTTTTGTTGCATAGAAAATAGAGCTTGGAATTCTAAAGTGAGATCTTCAAATGGCATAAAGCTAGTGTTTGTTTGTTTTTTATTTTTTTATGGGGTGTTCTATGCCCTTCATTCTTTTCCATCCATGATTCTTTATGACTGCTACCCCCTCTAGCAATCTGGTATTTTAGTTGGCTCTCTGGATCTCTGCCCAGCCTCTTTTCTTAATAACTAAGGAACACCAATTTACAAAACACCCCCATACAGACCTTTAAGATAAAAGGTAGTCTAGTTTATGAACCATTGCGGGATTTGAGGATGGTTAGATGTACGTAGCTTTATTCCAACAGACGGAGACAATGTTTCCACGACTTGACCCTTGATGCCCATATCACAATTGAACGAAGATAAATTTGCATGGTTAAGTGGGCTAGGAGTTCAAGAGACTGAGTTGGTCTTTGTTTGGAAGACAAAAGCAGGGTAAATGATAGAGATGTAGGGCAACAGTCGAAAAAGATGCTTAGCTTATCAAGGGTGTTGTTCCATTTCATCTCCTTTATTCATCCTAGTCAGATTCTATTTAACAGCCTTAGTTTGCTTAAAATGCAGGCTTATCATTGGGAGTAAATCTAAAACTCCTATAGGACACTTGGGGCCCTCCATGCTTTATGCTTTAAAGGCCCCTCCAAATCATATAAGGGATAGATAAATGACAAGCATATATCTACAGGAATGGATCATAAGAATAGAAGGTTTACAATCTCAGACCAGCTTAGTCTTTCATTACTCTGAAGGAAAAACAAGCCTTCTACCCCCCTTTTTTTGTATAGAAACCATGGTTTGTAGTACTCACAGGGTGTTTATCCTCCTTATTTGCATTGGAATATTAGCAATTCAACTAGAAAAAGTTTCTGGCCTGAGGAGTAGAGACTTTGTGCTAAGATGGAGCAAAGAAGATCATGGACGTGTACTGAAGAACAAGCGCATGCTTCGGGCAGTCGTACAAGACCTGAATACAATGAAGAAACAGGCACCTGTCAACAAGACATTTGATCCGAACCAATCAAGCAAAAGAAGAGTTCGAAGGGGCTCGGACCCCATCCACAACAGATCCTGATATGTTCAGGGTGTTTCTTCTGCTACAGAGAGAACAAGAAAGAAGCTGAAACATGAAAGAAATAGCTTTAAACACTCCTGAGAAGACTGGAAGGGGTCAGAGTCAGACTATGCCAGCTTCCTCAGAGGTATTATGTGGCTTGGTTGATTGGTTGTCCTATTTTGTTTTGAAGGGTTTTACTATAAAGAGATTGTGCATAGTCAGAAACGTAGCAAAGAGCCCCTGAAGACATTCAGTGAACCTGCATCACAAACCGATGTGTCAAGCTGCGGTACAACATTGAAGATAGTGCAGGTTACCAAAAACTAAAAATATATCCACCTGCATTAAGTTTTTGGAACAAATTCAAATCTGTTTGCATCTGTTACTCAAATTTCTCAGAAGTGTAGTGAAATTCTTTTGTATCTTTCCCTCTCTAAGAGAAGTATCTTCAACATAAACATCCTGCAACTATATACTTGAGTGTTTTTATATTTCAAGACTTAGTGTCTCAAAAATTACTCCATAATATTTTATCCTTTGTTTGAACAAACACAAACAGGCAAAAAAGAACTATAGGAAGGCTCAGATTGGAGTCATCAATCCCTCATTCCATTAATGGAATGTCAGTTATCATTCAGGGCATAGACTCCCAATTTCTCTGTCAAAAGTTGTTGTATAATCTTCATTTGACACAAACTTGTGTGACAGTAACAGCTCATGTACAGACGCCCCGGATTTCATATAATAATCATGATGTGCAAGGTATTAGTACCAATAAGAGGGGTAGGTCCAAGTCAGGGGAACTGTTTCTTGATGGCACTGGATTGAAACCAAATTTCAAACGTGCTTCGGATAGAAACAGAGCTGCTGTTAGATCTCTTGGTAAATAAGCAGTATCTCTTTGACCCACTAAAACAGAATCACTCCTTCAAGGGGATATCAGGTGTAATTTTTTTTGAACCGAAAAATCAATCTCTGCTCCTGGAGAAAGCTATGAGACAGATGTTTGATGGCTAATAATCTCTAGTGTTCATCTCAATGGAATCACAATTTGAACAAGGTTCCTCCAAAGTCTCTTAGCATCTCTCTGGTATGACAGGTAATATTTCCATTAGCTCTATGAAGACTGGTTAGAGACTCAAATTCACCTATGTGGAAGCATAATTTTGAAAAAATCCAAAATAGGTCACTTTTCAGGCTGCTCATAACAGGCATTTCAAGCAAATGGTGCTGCCAGAAACATTTGAGCAGAAATAGTTTACCTCAATCAATTAGATGTTGATCATCAGAAGCTTATGAAAAGTGGGCATTCTTTCCATGTGTGGGAAGATCCCAAAGTTCTTGAGTAATGTATCCTCAAAGAACATGTATTGAATCAAATACACAGTTCTATAAGGAAATGACAGGAGGACATAAAGATAACTTCTTTAGCACATAAAATGTAATAAGCGTGTCGGATCCAACACTGTTCTTGAAGAAAGAAAGGTGATGAGATTTGGGACTGAAAGGAAGCATGGCGAATCTATTCGAAAAAGGGTCAAGCAGCTGGAGAAAAACTTCTTTTAACCATGTTATATTAAGTTCTTATCTGTTTCTAATTGACAAAAAGTTCAGCTTTTTAGAAAAAACTGTCTATGCAAACTTACAAATTCAGAAGAAAAATCCTGTCCTTGTCTAGCCTAAAGCTATTAAAGAAATCCAACCTATTTGAGTAGCACTCTGACACAAAGTTGTGTGTGGAGTGACGATTGCTATGGTTTTAATTCTGGATTTTAAGGAGGGTAATAACTTGAATCTGTCGTTCAATCGGATTTTGAACATTTTAGTTAAACAGCATGCAGAGGCACAAAACAACACTTTTTGACAGTTTAACAGTGCAGAAGACTACTCTTGTGTTTGATGTGAGGAACGGTGAATCAAAATTCACCAGTAAGCTAGATGCTCAGGTGAACTACTNAACAGACGGAGACAATGTTTCCACGACTTGACCCTTGATGCCCATATCACAATTGAACGAAGATAAATTTGCATGGTTAAGTGGGCTAGGAGTTCAAGAGACTGAGTTGGTCTTTGTTTGGAAGACAAAAGCAGGGCAAATGATAGAGATGTAGGGCAACAGTCGAAAAAGATGCTTAGCTTATCAAGAGTGTTGTTCCATTTCATCTCCTTTATTCATCCTAGTCAGATTCTATGTAACAGCCTTAGTTTGCTTAAAATGCAGGCTTATCATTGGGAGTAAATCTAAAACTCCTATAGGACACTTGGGGCCCTCCATGCTTTATGCTTTAAAGGNACGAGTTCAAATAGAACAGCCGACTAACACTAGATGCATGAACCGGTCTTTCAATCTATACATCAGTTAATTTAGGACTTATTCTTTGGTAGGGATTCAAACTAAGGTGAAAAATTTGTATACGATTCGTCTAAATAACTATGTTCTGTTCTACCAACTAACCACGCTTTGAATTCTTGGCTTCAAAAAAATAAAGCCAACAAAAAAGTATGNCCCTTCTACCCCCCCCTTTTTTTGTATAGAAACCATGGTTTGTAGTACTCACAGGGTGTTTATCCTCNACTTTTTAGAAAAACCTGTCTATGCACACTTATAAATTCAGAAGAAAAATCCTGTCCTTGTCTAGCCTAAAGCTATTAAAGAAATCCAACCTATTTGAGTAGCACTCTGACACAAAGTTGTGTGTGGAGTGACAATTGCTATGGTTTTAATTCTGGATTTTAAGAGGGTAATAACTTGAATCTGTCGTTCGATCGGATTATGAACATTTTAGTTAAACAGCATGCAGAGGCACAAAACAACACTTTTTAACAGTTTAACAGTGCAGAAGACTACTCTTGTGTTTAATGTGAGGAACGGTGAATCAAAATTCACCAGTAAGCTAGATGCTCAGGTGAACTACTTCCTATTCGATTGCTTTAACAAAAGACCCTCTTACTAAATCCAATCTGCCAATATTGGATAGACCCTTGCTACAAATCAGAAGAGCGCATACTAATCGAAAAGAAAGGAATAAGGAGTCATCAACTCTGGTGTTCAAAGGGTTAGTTTCAGCTAGTAACTGTACCTAAATGCAATGCTCTCTGGTAACAAAAAGGAACCTAAATTCAGAACTTAGATGTAACTATAACAGAAAGCACAAAGTTACCTTAAACTAATCATTCAATATAAACCCATATTAGTGCTGATGGTTAGGTTACTTCGGATTGTTGAGGTGGGAAAATTAACTCTGCCTAAAACCTAATTTCTAGTCATGTACAAAGATAAAGCAAGCAATCCCAAAACTAGTAAATGCATATAAATAATTACACAAAAGGTACCTTCATATGACTTTTACGAAAGAATTGAACTAATAAACAAACAGTAAAACATCAAAATTGTACAATAAAAGAAGAACAGAAATGCAATAAAATAGAAAATAACTCTTGCCCATTAATCAAAACTGCCTTGTTTTTCAAGGAGGAGATTAAGAAATGAGAAACTGAGGAAGACCATACTCAGAAAGTGACCTCAAATGCAACCTAAACATTTGAAATCACAAGACCCACTCACCAGTCTTCAAGAAGGAAAGGTTGCTAATTTGTATCCATTCAATTAGAAACCATGGTGATGAGAAAGATTGAATCACCATCCCACAAAAATTTTGAAGGATTCACTTCTAAATTATTAAAAAAAAATATGTATCAAGAATGGATCACAAAATATTGAAAGATTCACTCCTAAATTATAAATCTTATTTAAATTGTAAACCAAATATATATTCAAGTGAATCTCCTTCGAAAAAAAATTCTATTGAAGATTTCAAATGTATCCTTGCTAAGGTTTTTTTTGGGTAAGAAGGGAAATCTTTGGACTGTCCGACGAGTTCAAATAGAACAGCCGACTAACACTAGATGCATGAACCGGTCTTTCAATCTATACATCAGTTAATTTAGGACTTATTCTTTGGTAGGGATTCAAACTAAGGTGAAAAATTTGTATACGATTCGTCTAAATAACTATGTTCTGTTCTACCAACTAACCACGCTTTGAATTCTTGGCTTCAAAAAAATAAAGCCAACAAAAAAGTATGATTGGGCCAGAGGCCATTAGTTATCCTTGCTAAGGTTAATACCCCCATACATACATCTTAGATTTCCTATATAATATTTTCGGACACATCCCTTTCTTTTAAGTGTCCTTCACTGACAAAGATGAACAATATGTTGTTCTTTATATTGGGCCAAACCCAATATATCAGGTGACTAACGGAAGGCCCTATTGGCCCACTATGAAAGGAAAGTTGGCCGGACTATCAATAACTCTTTGGGTTCTGAATAACTTGGGTCGATCCACATATATGCACGTATATGTATAGCCCAATAATTTAGTTCTGAAAAAGGTTTGAACTTGTGGTTTGAAATGAGATGTCCCAGGATTCGATTCGAACCTGATCATTAACCCGAACTCTTCAATCCGAGTATCCTCTCTCCTTATATTCTTGAACACAAGTGGATTGAAATTCAAGTTCAATTGTCAAGTTGAAATTCGGTTTCAATTCTCATGTTGCATAACTCAAGCTGAAAGTCGCGTTAGACTTTAATTTACAGGTGCGAGTTTGTTCAAGTTTAACTAGATTTTTCTTACCCAAACCCAACTCAAAAATTGAGAATATTTTCTGGCCTGACTCAAATTTAGCTCGGTTTGTCCATCCAATTGCACTATTTAGTGTCAATCGTTTACTGTGACCCAACAATCATTTTGCCCATTAATATTCATACCACCGTGAATTTACCTTTAAAAAAATAAAAAGAAGACAATATTGGAAAATGAAAGATTGGGTTACACATTTAAGTTTTTTTTTTCAACGGTCAGGTGTGTCCTGGGCCAGCTTACACATTTAAGCTTAGGCTATTACTTATTGATTAGATTGGGAAGGTAGAAATATGGCTTCAGCCGAGTAAAAATAATTGTATTGGTAAAAATTTAGATATGTAACATAGTCCAAGATTAAGGATGACAGTGGATCAAAGCAGAGGCGGAAGGTGTAGTCTCCATCCCTATACTTGCTTAAAAAAGTTTTGTTCATCCTCGATCCACCCTCATTAACGGGTATAGTTTTCATCCTCATTCCTGTCCGCGAGTAAATTTGTAATCCCCGCCTCCGCCCTTTTCCCCACCTTCATCCCCGCCCTGCCCCCGTCCGCTTTCCGTGTCCTAATCTAAATCTAAGTCAACATAATCTAAAATTTTAAATAAATCTAACATTCTTAAAAATTCAACATAATTATAGAATATCATAACATAATTAAAAAACTAGTTATCTGCAACATAATCCAACGTAATATACTTAAAATTTTGTCTACAACATAATATAATTAAAAGTTTGTCTTTCATGTAAATTCAACATAACATTATACAACACAATATAATGTAACATAACATAATCCAACATAAAACAAAAAAATCTACACTTTTACAAGTCAAAAACATAAAAAAAAAAATTAAAAAACAAAATAATTTTCAAAAGAAAAAATCATTCATTAATATGTAGATTTGTATTAACAGCAACATGTATACACACACACACACACACACACACACACACACATATATATATACATACATACATATAAAAAAATAATAATAGTAACGGGTAAAGCAGAGCGGAGGCAAGGCGGGGGGAGGTGTCAGTACATCCCCGTCTTCATCCCGGAACGAGTTTATACAGGTATTCCCGTATACATCTGTCGTCTAATATGTATTATCCATCCTCGGTCCAAATGAGATGAGTTTGAACGAATATCATTTTTATCCAGTCCACTGTCATCCTATCCAAGATATATCTAAAGATACATAATTACCAAATTATACTAAGAAAAAAGCTATTTTAGGTTT